TGCTGGAGACAAATGACAGTGCAGGGGCCATGAAAATCAGTGGGTTAGCTGGAAAACCTGAAGCCCACAGCACTCAGTCTCATGAGAATTAACACTCAGAGGGAAACTCGGAAAGTAACCTCTGAGAGAAATATACTTCTTTATTTTTTTGCTTAGAAAGAGAAAGAGATTTGGAAAACTTGGAGGAGGTAGTAACAGAATAGGGGCTCAACAATAAGCGGAGCAGCCTGTCTCCTTCTCGCCTCTGTCCTCCCCCAACTCCCGTCCTAAAACTCCGCTCACCACCGAAGTGCATCTCTTGGGAGAAAATGGGGCGTGTGGAATAAGGAAAACCAAAACTAAATAAATACATGATCAAGCAATGAAGAAGGGCTTTCTAAAAATGGCAAAAATCGTAAAGGAAATGATCACTACACCTGACTAAATGCAAGTTTTAAAATTTTGTATATTAATAAAAGCTATAATTAAAAATTAGGTAGGTGCTTTGGCCCACTGAATAAGACACCTGCGTCCCAGGTCATAATATCTGAGTTCAATTCCCAGTCCCAGCTCCCGACTCCAGTTTCCTGCTAATAAAGACCCTGGGGAAAAGGGGGTAGCACTGATGGTTCAAATGACTGGGTCCCTGCCTCCCACATGGGAGACCTGGACTGAGTTCCCAGCATTTGGAGGAATGAACAGCAGATGAGAGTTTCTCTCTCTCTGTCTCTCTGTCTCTCTCTCTCACTTTGCCTCTCAAATAAGCAAATTTTTTTAAAATAAATGATTCAAATGACCAATGGAAAATATTTGCATCCTGCATTACAAAAGATTGCAGTCTTTAATAACTGAAGTTTTTATAGCTCTCTTGCAAAATCACACAAAACTGAAAGGAGAAGAAAAACAGAAACACAAAAGCCATTCTCGATGAAACCAGGGGACATCAGTCACCCCAAGCCACAGAGTATGAAGACTGGCAAGGGTCACCGGTGAGAGCAGCACGGGGCTCAAGCGCTTGGAGAGGAGCACGCTTGTCCTTCAGAACCAGAAAAAGCAGGGGCTCTGAAGTCTCCAGGAGCAGGAGATGGGGCTGACCGCAGGGACTGAGTGGGAGAAGTGAAGCCTCCTGTCCTCCCCCACCTCTGCGGTCTGACAGCGACCACTCCCACTCCCACTCCTACTCCCACTCCCACTGGAGAAGAGGGGTCAGTCTGTACAGAAACCAGACTGGGAGGATCTGAACTCCCAGACACCAGACACTGAGGACATCATCCTGAAAGTCAGGGGGTTACATACAGATTCACGCTCACTCCCACGCACCCAGTGCAGACTTGCAGCTGACTTGTGACCTCTGGGCAAGAGACTGGAGACCACCTGGAGAAGTCTGACAGCCCTAGGAGATCTGCCACAAGCACTGCCATCTGGGCATTTGACAGCACTGACAGAGCTCCAGTCCATTGGTCTGTCCCCCTACTTCCTGTACACCGAGCCTCAAACTAGTATTCTAAGGCCTCCATCATAAACGTGGCTGGACAGCCAAGAATCAAGTCATCAAACGCATGTTTACATGCAGGCAGTCTGGCTCCACAAGGTGTCAACCACCTTGCTTGCTGCCTCCATCTCTCTCAATGCACAGAAAGGGACCTGGAAGGGTGTACCCCCAGGAAGCTGCCATATTGTCTCTGAATAGGAGGGGATTATAGGTCATCTTTATGTTCATTTTGCTTGTTCAGGTTTCTACTTTTTCTGTAGTGAGTTTGTAATGTTATTGCAATTAAAAATATTTAAAATTGCATTTCGAAAAGCAAGATATGCCTTCTTACCCTAATGGCCAGGCCCTGCTTTCAGCTAGTGGGATAAATAGGAGACACAACACCCGGCTCCAATTTCATCACTCAAAGTATATCGTAAATAGTCAGAATTTGCTCGGCTTCACTGAGCATCTACTGTAGTGTCAGACACTCTCCTTGAAGGAAGAAATGCCTTTACTATTATTACTGTCAGTGTTATCCGTTCATCTTCAGACCTGTGGGTAAGAGACTGCGTGAAAATCACAACGGCAGCTGTGGCTAGACTACTGGCCCTTTTGCGGGAGGCAGTGCTGGAGGGTGGGGGAGGGCTTCTAGATAAAAGCTCAGCAAAGCTGAAAACCTGAACTAGATGGAGATCCCTGTGACCCAGGAAGGATTTCCTCAGAGTTACTTTGAGGGAGTGGTGGGCGGAGGGGGAGACGGGGATGCTGAGTGCTCCCACTCCACAGAGGGAGGGGTGTTCTGCCAGTCCGTGAGGCCGAGGGTGTGAGCAGGTGGGGACAGAGGAGGGGAGAGGGGTGGACGCTTGCTGACTTGGAGATATCGCTGGGGCAGGCAGAACCAGCCCTTCCAGAAGTAACCTGCTCCTTAAAAGCATGTGAAGATGTGATCATCTGTGGTGTTACTTGTGAAAAAATAAAGGCATGTATATACACAGCTTCTCAAGTGCTGAAAGGAACAAAGTACTTTACATTCTTTATCATATCACTTTTTCTAAGTGTTGAATATTCCTGTTTATTTTTCTATGTTCTGTCTTGTAACCTTAAGAAGTGTTTCAAACACATCTAAATGTATAAAAGAAGAGCGAATGCCCTCCATAGTACAATACTGTGTTATATGTAAAACTGTGTGCATATATTAAATGTTGTCTCTTGAAAAAATAAACTCTTTAAGATGTCTTAGGGAAAGTGAGCTTGGGCCAGCGCCATGGCTCACTAGGCTAATCCTCCACCTGTGGGGCCGGTACCCCAGGTTCTAGTCCTGGTTGGGGTGCCAGATTCTGTCCTGGTTGCTCCTCTTCCAATCCAGTTCTCTGCTGTGGCCTGGGAGTGCAGTGGAGGATGGCCCAGGTCCTTGGGCCCTGCACCCGCATGGGAGACCAGGGGGAAGCACTTGGCTCCTGGCTTCGGATTGGCACAGCGCACCGGCTGCAACATGCCGGCCGCGGCGGCCACTGGAGCGTGAACCAATGGAAAAAGGAAGACCTTTCTCTCTGTCTTTCTCTCTTTCAATGTCTAACTCTGCCTGTCAAAAAAAAAAAAAAAAAAAAAAAAAAAAGTGAGCTGATAAAATTGGCTAAAATTGCAGCACCCTGTTACTTAGAATTCATCACAGCTGTTTCATGGTTAATTCTTCTTTCTCTTTTCTTTAATTTTTTTTAAAGATTTATTTATTTGAAAGTCAGAGTTACACAGAGAGAGAGAGGTCTTCCATCCTGTGATTCACTCCCCAATTGGCCGCAACAGCCAAAGCTGCGCCGATCCGAAGCCAGGGGCCAGGAACTTCTTCCGGGTCTCCCACGTGGGTGCAGGGGCCCAAGGACTTGGGCCATCTTCTACTGCTTTCCCAGGCCATTGCGGAGAGCTGGATTGGGAGAGGAGCAGCCGGGACTAGAACTGGTGCCCATATGGGATGCCGGCGCTTCAGGCCAGGGTTTTAACCTGCTGTGCCACAGCGCCGGCCCCTTCTTTCTTTTTTCACTCTCCTTTCTTTGCTGGACTTCATAAATCCTGCCGCACCCTAACTTCAATAAAGCTAATGCATTGCCAATGGTCTTGGATTCTGGACCCCTCAATCCTCACCATCCCAGACTTTGACTTCCTGTTCCCCACAACTGCTAACCCATTGATGAGCCAGGTAGGCACCCCTTCCCAAGTCCCAAACTAGAGACAAAATCTGGTGCTTGTTCCTGGTCCCTGGGAATGAGCTGGCCCGGCCCTGGACTCTGTTTCTCCTAAATCCCACCATCCAGACAATAAGACAACCCAATAGAACGAAGTTCAGTAGTATAATATTAGACCTACACAACCAGAGGTGGGACCCCTTTGATAATTAGAGATGCAATTGATATAATCTATGAGTCTAATTATTCTATGAGTCTAAACATAATTGTGATAATCAGATTGAAAAATCACATTGAATAGAAACAATGGCTATTTAATTCCCAGGGTACTATATCCCATCTGCATAAAAGCTCTCACTTCTCGAAGTCGGAGAACTCAAAAGGCTTCCATAGCCTTGACAGCTCATGACAAGAGCCTAGGGAGATTACTGATGCCATAAACAAGAGTGTCAATTTGTTAAGTCAACAACAGGAGTCACTGTGCACTTACTCCTCATGTAGGATCTCTGTCCTTAATGTGTTGTACAATGTGAATTAATGCTATAACTAGTACTCAAACAGTATTTTACACTTTATGTTCTGTGTGGGTGTAAACTGTTGAAATCTTTACTTAGTATATACTAAATTGATCTTCTATATATAAAGATAATTGAAAATGAATCTTGATATGAATGGAAGGGGAGAAGGAGTGGATAAGGGGAGGGTTGCAGGTGGGAGGGAAGTTATGGGGGGGAAAAGCCATTGTAATCCATAAGCTGTACTTTGGAAATTTATATTTACTAAATAAAAGTTAAAAAAAAAAGCTCTCACTTCTCAATGCTCTTCTTTCACAAACACCACAAAGTACTGATGCACGGTCCTGTTTCTCCCAGGACCTGGACACTGCTGCCCAGGGCACATGGGATGGTGGCAAGCACGTGGACCCCAGACTCAGAAAGCCCAGGGTTCAAGTCACAGTCTCGTCAGTTACCCTCTAGCTGGCCTGGCTTTCCCACCCACAAACTAGGAGAGTAATCACCTTCCCCAGGGCTCTAGGGATTAGAAGGAATGATATGAGGTGCTGACTGCAGCCTCTGGCTCCCACGAGGCACAGGCAAGTTGTAGCCATTGTTCCTGGAGCCAGGCATCAGATGTAGGTTCTGGGCACCAAACTCTCCTGGCATCATCTCATCAAGGAGTCTCAAGGCCCTATCTCACCACTTCTCAGAAAACTTACTTTAAAGTAAGCACAGGCCCAGCTGTGTGTGTGTGTGTGTGTGTGTGTGTGTCCACCCCAGGTACAAGCCTGGGAGCCAGTCCAGGCAGGTCTCTAGGGAATTGCTGCTTTCACCTGCTTCAGAGAACACCGAGCCTGTTTGTTCACATACCTGGAAGAGGTTCGCAGCTTCCAGGATGCGCTGGACATTCTGCTTGGTGATCAGCGCCTTGCTGGTATACGTGTAGTCCAGGAGGGTGTGCATGGTCTCAGCATCAACCCCTTTAATGATGATCCTCTTCTCATACTTTTCCTTTAAATCATTGCAGAACATGGCCCTGGAAGAGAGATGTGTGAATGTGAATCTTTTGGTTGCAGGCCTAAGGAGATCACTTTTTAGACTCACCTGCCCTCTTGGAACAGTAGGGTTCCTGGACTGATTTATTTCTGCTTCTGCGGCACCCACCACACTTCAGATACCCAATCAGTGCTTCCTGAAGTGAGCTGTCCTGCTCTGCCATGCCCAGCTGTGGTCCCCAAAGCCAAGTTCCAGATCATTGTTTTGACTTTCATTGGCTCCAAGTGCTAGAGGTTCTTACTGCCTTGTGGGTGCCCCACGCCTCATCCATCCCTTCTCGCTCTACAGACATCCCTTAAACAGGGTTTGTGATGCAGTTCTCAGTTACCACACTGGCTTTTCTCTGGCCAGGGGCCTGGCCTCATAACCTGGGCTGGCCGGCTGAGGCCCAGTCACCCTCCAGCAGTGCAAGTGGCCCCTGCAGCTGCCTCTCCCCAGGAGCTGGACCCTTGTCCACGGGTCCAGTTGCAGTTGGGAGCCTTGAATTCTCTCAGCCCAGGAAAAGAGTCCCCAAGGCCACGACTCGCTCTCACTGCTGGACTATGCCTTCCAGCTCCCTCCCCACAATCAGACTTCGCCCTTCTCTTGGAAGCAAGGGAGCAGGATGGAAAGGATGCTGTTGTTAGCAACAGATGGACCGGGATTTGAACATCACTGCCACAACTCAGAAGTCGGACATGTTTCTCAGTCTCCATGAGCTTCAGTTTTCTCATCTGCAAAGGGGATTTCACCAGTTATTTTAAAAGTTTATTGTAAGGCTGATCTCAGTAACTAATCAGAAACTAATCAACAAGTATAGATATAGAGAGTTTTTTGACTCCATGTCAAGCCCACATGTGAATTTGTCATGCTTCCTGACGTAGGCATTTGAATGCTGGTCTTTCCCAGGTAACATGTGAGCAATGTTATCTGTTTTTGCTTTGTTTTGTTTTGGTTTTTTTGTTTTTTGTTTTTTTTTTTTTACAGGCAGAGTGGACAGTGAGAGAGACAGAGAGAAAGGTCTTCCTTTTGCCGTTGGTTCACCCTCCAATGGCCGCTGCGGCCGGCGCACCGCGCTGATCCGATGGCAGGAGCCAGGTACTTATCCTGGTCTCCCATGGGGTGCAGGGCCCAAGGACTTGGGCCATCCTCCACTGCACTCCCTGGCCACAGCAGAGAGCTGGCCTGGAGGAAGGGCAACCGGGACAGAATCCGGCGCCCTGACCAGGACTAGAACCCGGTGTGCCAGCGCTGCTAGGTGGAGGATTAGCCTAGTGAGCCGCGGCGCCGGCCAATGTTATCTGTTTTTAAAATGCATTTAAATCTTTCAATGCTTCTGAAAAAAATCCCGGAACACTGGTAATCTGGAAGTTACTAAAACTATGGCACTATTGTGTAAATTTCAGTAGGGAAAAAGAACACAGAAGAACATGGGTGGGAAGATGAAGACAATCCATGGGTGAGGTGAGAAATGCCCTGCTGCTTGCCTTTGCAGTGGCTTGGCCAAGGCATAGGAGAGGCAGCCTGGTCAGATACACTATTCACAATCCTGGTGATACGTATGTTTCTAGCAAATCCAAATGTTCAGAAGAATTACTGTTGTTCTTAGCACTCAAAATTAGATGGGGTAGGTGTCCAGCCTAACAGTTAAGAAAGCAGTTAAGACATCTGTGTTCCATATTGGTTTTGTAATTTTCATCGTAGAGATCTTTAACGTCCTTGGTTAAGTTTATTCCAAGGTATTTGATTGTTTTTGTAGCTATTGTGAATGGGATTGATCTTAGCAGTTCTTTCTCAGTCATGGCATTGCTTGTGTATACAAAGGCTGTTGATTTTTGTGCATTGATTTTATATCCTGCCACTTTGCCAAACTCCTCTATGAGTTCCAATAGTCTCTTAGTAGAGTTCTTTGGATCCTCTAAGTACAGAATCATATCGTCTGCAAAGAGGGATAGTTTGACTTCTTCCTTCTTGATTTGTATTCCTTTGATTTCTTTTTCTTGTCTGATGGCTCTGGCTAAAACTTCCAGAACTATGTTAAATAGCAGTGGTGAGAGTGGGCATCCCTGCCTGGTGCCAGATTTCAGTGGAAATGCTTCCAACTTTTCCCCATTCAATAGGATGCTGGCTGTGGGTTTTTTATAAATTGCTTTGATTATATTGAGGAATGTTCCTTCTATACCCAATTTGCTTAGAGTTTTCATCATGAAAGGGTGTTGAATTTTATCAAATGCTTTCTCTGCATCAATTGAGATAACCATATGGTTTTTCTTCTGCAGTCTGTTAATGTGGTGAATCACATTGATTGATTTGCGAATGTTGAACCATCCCTGCATACCAGGGATGAATCCCACTTGGTCTGGGTGGATGATTTTCCTGATGTGTTGTTGTATTCTATTGGCCAGAATTTTATTGAGGATTTTTGCGTCTATGTTCATCAGGGATATTGGTCTGTAATTTTCTTTCAGTGCTGCATCTTTCTCTGGCTTAGGGATTAAGGTGATGCTGGCTTCATAGAAAGAATTTGGGAGGATTCCCTCTTTTTCGATTGTTCTGAATAGTTTGAGAAGAAATGGGATTAGTTCTTCTTTAAATGTCTGGTAGAATTCAGCAGTGAATCCATCTGGTCCTGGGCTTTTCTTTGTTGGGAGGGCCTTTATTACTGTTTCAATTTCTGTTTCAGTTATGGGTCTATTTAGGTTTTCTATGTCTTCATGGTTCAATTTTGGTAGATTGCATGTGTCCAGGAATCTATCCATTTCTGATAGGTTTTCCTGTTTGCTGGCATACAGGTCCTTGTAGTAATTTCTGATGATTCTTTTTCTTTCTGTGGTGTCTGTTGTTATGTTTCCTTTTTCATCTCTGATTTTATTGATTTGGGTCTTTTCTCTTCTTTTTTTAGTTAGTTGGGCCAATGGGGTGTCAATTTTGTTTATTTTTTCAAAAAACCAGCTTCTCGCTTGGCTGATTTTTTGTAATGTTTTTTTGGATTCAATCCTGTTAATTTCTTCTCTGGTTTTAATTATTTCTCTTCTCCTACTAGATTTGGGTTTGGTTTGCTGCAGTTTTTCTAGGTCCTTGAGGTGCGCTGAAAGCTCATTTATTTGGTACCTTTCCAATTTCTTGATATAGGCACCTATTGCTATAAATTTGCCTCTCAATACTGCTTTTGCTGTATCCCATAAGTTTTGATATGTTGTGGCTTCCATAGCCTTGGAAACTCATGACTGGTGCATAGGGAGATTACTGATGCCATAAACAGGAGTGTCAATTTGTAAAGTCAACAACAGGAGTCACTGTGCACTTACTCCTCATGTAGGATCTCTGTCCTTAATGTGCTGTACACTGAGGCTTAATGCTATAACGAGTATTCAAACAGTATATTTCACTTTGTGTTTCTATGGGGGTGCAAACGATTGAAATCTTTACTTAATGTACACTAAACTGATCTTCTGTAAAAAAAAAAAAAAAGAAATTATCAATTCCCAACTTGACTCTCACTGGGATTAAACATGACAATAGGTCTGATCTGATTTCATCATCATTTAAAAAAAATCATCTATTATTTTTCACTTTATGTTTCTGTGTGGGAGCAAACTGTTGAAATCCTTACTTAAGGTATACTAAGCTGATCTTCTGTATATTAAGATAATCGAAAATGAATCTTGATGTGAATGGAAGGGGAGAGGGAGTGGGAA